TATGCATTCTCTTTATCTTGTAGAAAAGAGTTAAAGCATCCAAGCCCTGGGAGTGGTAAGTGACTGCATCAAAGTGAAATAGAGAGTTGGACAACCAGTGTCCAGTCAGACTGTCACACGGTATATTCACAGGTAAATGTGCGAACACGAAATGGCCACATGGATCCCTCATCCAATTTTTGTTTATGTTTTGTAAATGTCTATCTTTACCTCTGCAGGACCTATTGATTAAACTTACAAAGACTTGGCTAGGGGATGCTGAGCCTCTGCATTTTACAATCTCCTGTCTTCTGCAATAATAACAATAACAGCATGCATAAATCAAGCCTTAGCTACTTCTCTACAAATACTCTAGATATCAAAGCGCTGTTATTCATAGAGCTTCTGCTGGTTCCATCTCTTCTAAAGTTAAAAAAAGAAAATGCAGTGTGGGCACAGACTTTTGCAACAACCGGGTACACGGGGCCCTAGTGCTTCGGTCGAGGAAAGGGGTTCTCAGGGGCTGGGGGACTGCTTTGGGAGTGGCCAGCTAATAAAGTCATGGAGTAAGCAGAGGATAGCAGAACTGTAAAAGAACCATACCATTTTAAGTTTTAAAATTCAAATTGGTCTAGGGACCCTCCTAGTTGAGAATCTACGGCTGTCATTTAGTGCAAAGGAGTGTGTGTGGGGGGGGGAGAGTATTAACCTATATCCATGTGGGAAGAATAGAGAGAAAGGAAGGGGTCTTTGCTTCTGAGGGGCCTCTTTTCGCAAAGGGAGCGAGGGGGGTGACATCGTGTTGGTTTAGAGGTGATTTATTCACTAGTGTTGTAAAATCTAAAATGCTGTCCCTGCGAAGACAAAGGAACTCCAGGGACCCAGTGACCCCCTGCTGCCGCCTGGACGCAGCAAAGCTGACCTGAGCGCACCGGGTGAGGTCGCTAAGCCGAGATGCCTGTGTGCACGACATCTACTCTGAGTCCAAGAGGGCTTCCCCCGTGAAGCGAACAACAGGGGCCATAACGCCGTCCCCACCACCCCCGGTCAGCTAGAGACCTGGAGCCCCAGGAAGGATTCTTGAGCAGCCCGAAGCAGTAGACTTCGAAAGTGCCTCCCTAACACCTCAGAGGGGAAGTCGTCCTTTGCCCGGACCCAGCAGGGGTCACCGGACTGGCCATTTCTCCAAAATTTTAAGAGGAGGCCACTGACCTCCCCTGTTTTGCAAAATAAACCGAATTCACCACCGTCTTCACATTCAGCTTTGGGGACTCAGGGACCTCCCGATTCTGGGTTTTACCTCCACCCGTCTGACGTGAAAAATTTCCAGGCTATCCTTAAAATGATGTGTTTTATTGGTTCCTCGGATGAATTCAGATAACTGAAGCTTGAATTCAAATTCAGAAGCTTGCCCGGGCGGAATCCCAGGGCAGTGGCGCGAGACAGGCTTCGGGCCCCATCCGCGTTACAAACGCTGGGGGACTGGATAGGACTTGGGTGCGAATGTCCGCTGGGTAGCGCCCTACGAAACGTTCCTGCTCTCCTGGGGGTTTGTCGCCACGGCGAAGAGGAGTTGGGAGATGGGCCGGCAAGCGTGTGGCCGGTGGGCTGGGCGGGCTACACTGGCTGAATTTGTTCCTCTCCTTTTGTGACAAACCAGTTTCCCGCGCCGCAGTTCTCCGCTCGCATCCCGCCTCTGCCCGGTGTGCTCTTGGCACGGCTGGGGAGTGTGCCTGTGTTGCACGCGTGTCTAATTGACTTTCCGTCTACCTTTTTATGACTACATGTGTTTCCAACAAAAGGTCTTATTAGGACAATCTGGTTTCACTAATTTAGAGGTTGGGAACGTGGAATGCTAGAGTTTTGTTTTGTTTTGTTTTGTTTTGTTTACAGAAGTTGAGATTAAGAAATGACATCGAGACGCGCGATCCTCCTAGAACTGTGCTTGTCCGTGTGTATGACCTGTTCCTCTTTCCTCTCCCTGGTTGCTCCTGTTCTGCCATCACCCTCACTCACACACCACATTTCCACTTGGCCACTGGATTGCTAACAGAGTTAAAGAAACCTTAAGTTTGAGAAATTTACTGGGTTGGGAGAATCGGCAAAAGAGGAAAGAATTTCGTCTATAGAAAGGAAAATACACTGAGTATCAATAAAGAGGAGGGAGACTGGATTGCCGATGGAGGTAGGAAAGTCAGCAAGAAATCCTCCTCCCTTTCTACCGTGCTTAGCTCCTCTTTGCTACACTCAGAATATGGAAATTTAAAATGTTACAAAATTAAGAATCCAATATTGAGCTTAGCGGAACAGGTAGTAGAACCTGTTTTGCTAATTTCCTCCAACACAAAACTTACACAGAACAAGGATACTCTAGATAGCTGGAAGAGTCAAAGGCAACTTTTCACTGCCCACCACCCCTCAGATAACCTTTTCCTACTTTGCAGTGCTGCCTCAGCTGGCTGCAGGGAGTGCCCTACCCAGGGGCAGTTCTCAGTCCCTTGCTTCTCTCCTGGTGTGACTCCTCAGTCTCAGTCCTTCTAGCCAGCACCGCTGCTGCTCCAGCCCTTCTCTGCCTTTTCTTCTTCCCTGCTTCCCAGTCTGAGCCTCAGCAGTCCCCTGCAGGCTGGAGGCCCCACGCTGTCGACCCCACTAGTCTAGACTTCCAAGTAGCTCATAACAAAGCTTCCTTCAAAACTCCTGGTGGGAGCCCAAGAACTCAGAACAGTGGTCCTCTGGCCACTTGCTATCAGTAGACATCTCATTCTCTTCCAGTTCTCTTGGAGGAGAATAAGAAGGAGGTTGAGGAAACATTGCTTATAAAAGTGACAAACTACTTGTTTAAATAACCCCCTGATCATCCTCTGGAAAGCAAGGCCTGCATTCCTAGGTGCACCACCTTGTTCTGCATTGTGTGGCTTCTCCTGAATCTGTAATTGATTGACTCTGTTCTGTGCTGTGCCCCCTCTCTCACTGGCCTTCGGAGCCTCAGTTTCCTTTAGGTGAGCTCTCCCTACAAGGCCTTGATACGCCTGGCAAGTAGAAGATGAGCTCCAGTATAAGGGAAGCAATTTCCCAGAGTCCTGGCCCCTTCTCCCTGGAAAACCATCTGCAACTTTGTACACAATCCCGAGCCTCTCCTCACAAGCTGTACCAATGCCTCAGCAGATGCCTCAGCACCAGGCTCACCTAGGTCTCACAAGAGCCACTGCTGCATGGCTTGACAAGTCCGAAGTGCTCTTCTGTGCCACCCATTGGAAAAAGCAAAGGAACCGGTCCTGCCCTGCAGTGTCCAGCATTTTGGTGGCCTTCGTGGGCCCTAGGTTTGTTGAGGGTGCCTGGCCTTGGTCCTGCTTTCACATCATCCTGCCTTCTCTTGGGGCAAAAGGGTACTGTCTTGTTGCTCTGCCCCACCCTGATCTACACTGCAGTTTCTTCACAGTCCTGCTTTCTGTTGGGAGTTCAGCCTTCAGTTCTCCAAACAGGTATAAATATTGTGATTACTAATTAGGCATGGCAAGATGGGAATGTCAGAATTGCAGAATCGATGAACTGGCTTCCAAATATCATTCTTGAATGTTTTACATTTTCCTTAGTAAAACGTTCAAAACAAATGATAGCATTTCTCATTGCATTTTGTTAAAGCCAACAGTGCCTAGCAAACACTTTGTAAAACCTGCTGAACCGTACAGCAGGAGCTTCCAAAGTACCAAAACCCTACAGAGAACGTCTCTGCCTCTGAACCAACCCTTCCGCAGCAGCTGGGCACGCTGACTCTTCCCTCCTCAAAATTGTCTGCCTTTCCTTACTGAGAGGCCAGGTCAGAGCTCCTTAAGCATCCACCTCACCCTCTGCAAGAGCGAGTGGGCATAATAGGGTGCAGTGATCAGCTCTGGCTAAAATCATTCATCCTAGCGCCAAAGCGAGCTGAAGAATCCGGGTAAGGGGCAAGAGCGCCCTGGCCTCTCTTCCACCTCATCTAGAGAGCCTGCTAGGGCCCCACCAGGGTGCCCAGGCCATTTCCAGCTGTTCCCGAGCCCAGTATGCTTTTTATGTCTATTGTTTGAAAGTCTGAGATGAGTAATGTTTTGTGAAAATCATAGAACGTGGGTGGGTTCCCGGAGTTACTAAATTTCACGAAATAGCACTAATGCTACAGAAAGCGATCGTTTGAGAACTTCCAGCCAAGCTCAAATCTTGCAACCTTGAGAAGAGAGGCGACTGTCTGTGTGGATCCGACAGAACTGTTACACATTCGGACCGTCGGATACACTCTCAGTCACATTTTAAAGGCAAAGTTAATGACGAGGCAGCTCTTCATGCGACGGATCAGTCGGTCAGTCCGGGGAAGGAAGCTGGTATTTGGACTTTAATGCAGGTCTCAGGGCCAACAAGCAGAGAGCGCCTGAAATGTGACCCTGGCCTCAGCTCTGAAGCCCGCAATTTCCTCGTGTCTGTGCCTGGTGCGGGATCCCGCGAGGCGGGACTCCAGAGCCACCTCTAAAAGACATTCCCTTGCTTCCCCTGAGTGTGCACGAGTCAGCAGGGCTTTTCACTCTGCCTCAAACCCCTTTGCAGGTGGAGGCGACAGCAGGGGGCACAGAGCAGCTTGGGGACCCGGACGCTAGCCGGGCGGTCTGCTCGAGCGCTCCCCAGAGCCGCGCCCCCATCCCAGCGCCGCGCCTTCCCCAGCCCCAGTCCTGTGGACTGTGCTTCACTTCTGTAACCCGCTGGCTGTCCGGATCGCGCCCGGGCAGGAACTGTCCCAGCCCCTGGGTGCCTAGCCAGCCAGTGATCAGGCAGCGACCCTCGCCGAAACGCGGATGCAGCGGAGACAGCTGCACCCAGAGCGCCAGGCCTCGGGCGCCTCTCCCGCGCCCGCCTGGCGGAGCCCTCCTTTATCACCCTTTCTCCCTGACGGTGACAACCACTTCTCAGGCGCTTGCCACCGCTCTCCCAGAAACCCCGAGCTACCCCGAGGCCGCCCGGCTTCCCCGCCCAGCGCCAGAGTCCCAGACACTCACTGTCCTGCTGCGGGGTGTCGCTGCCGCTGGTGAGACCTGGGGACTCCAGCAGGCTCCGGCCCGCCTCGCCCACGCTCTCGTCAGCCTGCGCCGCCACCATGTCCCCGGCCTCCTCCAGGTCTAGCAGGTGACTGACGGAGAAGTTCTTTTTCGCCTGCAGGGTGTCGAGGTTGCCCGGGCTGTCCAAGCGGCCGCCCAGCGCCGGCTGCCGCTCCAGAACGTGCCCGTAGCTGGAGGTCATGGTCCCCCCTCGATCCCACCCACCCCCCTCTTCCCGCTCGAATCAACACCAAAGGCTGTGGAGGCGAGGGGGGAGAGGAGGCGAGTGGGGAAGAGAGAGGGGGGAGTGGAGAGAGAGAGAGAGAGAAAGTGGGGGAAAGGGCGGGGGACCCCTTCTGCAGAGCAGAGCGCTCTGCACCCGCAGCCTTCCGCAGCCTTGGTTGCTTTCTTGAAGCCAAGTCCGGCGCGGTCCAGAGAGAGATAATCCACACCAAAAAATAAAATTAAAAAGTTACCCTGTTTCGGTCAGAAGAAAAAAAAAATCAATTCTCAAAAAGCGTCCGCACCACGCGCACACTAAAAATAAGAATAAGGGGGAGAGAGGAGAAGGGCAGGCCAGCAGGGCGGGGGAGTCAGGCAAACAGGGAAGAGAGAAGAAGGGGTGGGAGAGAAGAATCAAAGTGGGTTTTTAAAAAATGTTTTTTTAAAAAAGTTATTCCCCGGCAAGAGTTCAAGCATCAACAGAAGAAGGCTTGTTCCAGCTTTAAAACATCTTCAAGAAAACGTGTTCCCCCCTCTCTGCACTCCTGCGGATTCTCAGGAGTGACTAAAGTTTCAGGAGAGGGTGATGTCTTGCAGATGTATTAGAGAGCAGGATTCTCACTTTACTTTTCGTAAGGCGTAAAAAAGTAAAAAA